TTTTTCTTTCTTTCTTTCTTTAACCACCAAAGTTGGTTTTCTCTTGGAATCAGCGGAAATCATGAAAAAATATTTCATATAAAAAATGTATATACCTAACAGTTATTAAAACAGAGTAGTGAAAATGTAATAAAGATACACATTTAAGAAAATAATTTTAAAAATATCATCATAACTTTTAAGCACAATTCTCTCATTCGATTTAATATTATACTTTTTTTTTATGTACACGACACGTAGAAATACATAAATAATCTGCACCTGAAAAATATCCTACCCTTGAAGAAAAAAAAATTATTTTGGGATTTCTAAATATTAAAGAAAAATAGATACATAATTATTTTTTAAACTTTATTTTCAATATTATTTTAAGTATTAAAAAAACTTGATAGTAATTCAGATTCGAAAAAATTTTAAAAATATGTTTTTTGAACCTCAAGTGAAAAATTTTTTTATTTTTTTACCATATAGTTTTTATATTAATTTTTTCAGATTTTAACGAATTTTACCGTAATAAAGTTGTATAAATATTTTACTTTCAAACTACAGGCTTTCAAATAAGCATCGCTACATTTCTTGCTTATAATTAACCAAGAGTCAAAAAAATATTTCTTATTCAGAAATTTTTATACTGTCAAAAATATGTATTCCACAGGGGCTGGAGACTTTTTTCACAAATTACTTAATTTTTGGTGCTTGTAAGTGAATAAATTAAAACAAATCATCGATGAGATCGATGCAAAGTTATTTTTAAAAAATGAGTAGCTATCTTTTAAAAAAAATGCTTACAGGAAAAAAAAGTATCCTTAAAAAAAGACTCCTAATTTAAGGAACTACTGCCGGCTACCAAGACCCGACAAGGACGGCAACATCGTGGTGTTCCACAGCCTGCGGGACACGAATCCAAGTGCCTACGTGTTCAACACTGCGGTCAAGGTGCTCTTCATGATGATGGACGCGTGTCTTTACCACGACGGCTGCACCCCCGGCTACGTGTTTCTGTTTGACATGAAAGGCGTGCGGATAAGCCATCTCACGAGACTCTCGATCACTGGGATTCGCAGGTTCTTCGAGTACCTCCAAGAGGCGAACCCTGTCAGGCTCAAGGCCATTCACGTGATCAACTGCGTTTGGTTCATCGACAAGGTCCTGGCTCTCATTAGGCCCTTCATGAAGAAGGAGCTGATGGACATTGTGAGTATTATTTTACGCTAAACATCGGAAAGTTAAAACTTTCTGCGAGCTAACCAGTTATGTAGGACCACAAAAAAGTAACATACGACAAAGAATTATTATTTATTTCTACGTAAGACGTTCAATTTTTAAAACCATTTGAAAATAATTTAATAGTGACTAGTTTACTAGCCACCTTAAAAACTGTTGTTTATAAACAATATTTGTGTCGTTTTATGATGAGCCCCTTAATATGTAATCTTGTAAAATGGTAATTGATACGTGCAAATACACAATTATATTGAAAATAATGGTAATCAGAAAAAAGTAAATGCAAGTCAACCCTTAAAAATAAAACCCGAAATTTTTTTCTTTTGTCTAGTTTGTCATGCATTTCATCATTTTAAAAACAATATTAATTTTTAATCTTATATGTAAGGTTAAAACTATTTGTTTGTTCATGGAGTACTTAGATTTTACTGTACAAAAATATTGTTACCGTGACAATGTTTTTAGGAATGATGAGTGTAAATCTGAAACTCAATTTTTTCTACTGGCACCATTTTTTTTTTTTTTT